CTACAGTAAAAAAAAAAAAAACACACGTACACAGGAAGAAATTTCGTGTGTGTGTGTGTGTGTGTGCATGTATATATATATGGGTGTGTGTATACACACACACACACCCATATATACATACATACTATATATATGCATACACACCACTATGACAAAGGATAATACAATTTCCTGGTTTGAATTGTATGTTAAAAAATGCTTTTCTGAGATGCTGGCTTTGTACATCTATTCATTCTTTACCTTAAAAAAGAACTACCAACAATTTTAATAACAAATAATAATGTTATATATATATACATACATATAAATATATATTTAAAAATTGCATACGTTTTGTGTTTTATGTATAAGCTTCACGAATATCTTTTATGAATACTGGAGTAAAGCAGGATATATGTAATATCTGAGAATCATTCAGTTTTAATTGTGAAAATGATTTATGATATACAATCTGTGGTACTCTTTGGTAATACATTTGCTAGTTCTTAAAAAAGGTAAAAAGATCATTTTAAACTATGTGCATTTTATCTCTAGTTAATATAGTACAGGTTGGATATCCTTTATCAAAATGCCTGGGACCAGAATTATTTCAGATTTGGAAATATTTTTATATACTCAATGCAATATCTGAGGAATAGGATCCAATTTTAAACACAAAGTGCATTTATATTTTATATGACCTGGTACACCTAGTTGGCAGTAATTCTATATATTTTTAGTTCTCCTGTGTTTTGACTGTACAAGCTTTCACATGAGGTCAGGTGTGGTTTTTCCACTTGTGGCATTAAAAAGTTTTGGATCTCAGAGCATTCCAATTTTCAGATTGGGGTGTTCAACCTGTAGTACAGCTATACAGCTATTTAAAACATAATAATATATAATGTTTTATTATTTTTATATTTCCAGGAAAGCAACACTAGAGGAAAAAAACACACTATTATAGATCAATAGAATGTTAGTTCTTTTTAGTGAGCATGTAAAGGTAGATTTATAATTTTTTGTTAAGTGTTTATAAAAAGAAAATTTAATACCATCATGTATATTATTAATAATGAAATGGAATATTAAATAGTTTTCAGTTATTTTAAAAAAATAATAATTAAAATAGTGTTCTTATTGACCTAGTTTTCGATGATTAAAAGGCTTTTCTTCCTCTGGAGTTGTATTTTCATTAGCTACCCAGTTGTCATAGGCAGCATGCTACTTTAAAGCTAAGTCAACATAAGAATTACACTTATTTAGAAAGAGCTGCAAACTACATTGTCAATTATTATTCATTCTTGTGTTTTCTAATCTTTGACCTGCTGTCCTCCCCTGACATGTTTCTGTTTTCTATTCCTTTTTCACTTGTTCATAAACATTCTGTACTCATCAGCACTGATAGAGTGGTCTGATTCCTTGGTTTTAGAATCTTATGAACTTTTTGTTTACAAATGGCTTGTAAATCATAAAGTATTTGATTTTTTTTGCGTATGTGTGTTTCTAATTTCAAAATAAGACTTTTTTCCAGGTGACTGACAGCTTCTGCTTGCTTTTATTTTTTTGATACCTGATGTCTATTTATAGTCTTAAACAATGAAGTGGTTCTAATTACAGGTGAAAATATATCATAGAAGGCATGGGACTAAAGTCAGGAAACTGAATTTGGGACTAATCACCCCAATTTCTGGTTATGTGTCACTAACTTTCCAAATTTATAAAATAAGTGTATAGTAATATAGTAGCTCATTTTCTGAGTTCCTTAGCTTAGATGTTAAGAACATTCCTGATATGCTTGAAACAGGCTACTTGAAATCATTCTAAATATAGCTTAAATCAAAAAATAAAAATTACATCATGAAATATTTTATTATAAAAGTTAATTGTATGCATTTTATGCAATTAGAGTAAGTCACTCATACTAATTCTAGTTTTAATAATTTGGAAGTTGTCCATATATCCTGAGGATCTCTGTTACAAATCAGCCCAAAACATCATGAGTTAAAGCTATCACGGATTTTATTTACAATTTTGTAAGTCAAGAACTTGAAAATGATTCAACCAGATGATTCTAGCTTAGGGACTCTTGGGTTTCTTAGACAAGAGTGAGGTGCTGAGGTTACAGTCACCTGAAGGCTAAATGTCCAAGGTGGCTCCTTTTTACAGTTGTAGTTGATGCTGCATGTTCTTTGGAAGCTCAGATACTGCTCTTCTCTCAGTGGGAGCACCATGTGGTTGTACTTCTCAGCATATCTGTTAGATCCTTTCTGCAAAGGAGTAGTCTGAAGAGAAGCATTCTAAGTAACACACTGTAGAAGCTGAGAAGCCTTTCCTGACCTGGACCTGAAAGTCATGCAGAGTTGCTTCCACTATGTTCTATTAGTCATGCAAAGTCAGTTAGAACAGACCAGATCCTAGGAGAGCAGCGTTAGTATCACAAATATACAGCCATTTTTAGTCTACCATACTGAGTGCCATATTTATGAATATTATTGAAAGGAGGAAATAATACAATCAAATTTTGGCCCTAAAATTAATTATAATTGAATGAGAAAGTAAGGATATCATCATTTTTAAATTATGTTTTCTAACTAAGAATAATGTGCATTTTAAAAATCACAAGGTTAAATTGGTTACATTAGCCCACAGGTTAATGGAATAATCTTATTTTGAAACCCAAGAATATTAAAAACCTTTTAATTCTACACATCAGTATGCTTTCAAACTCAATATATCATCTTGTCAATATGCTGCAGAATTTTTCAGATATAATGAGAATATTGAGAGAGTATTGTTATTCATCTCCATGTAACAGATTCTTTCAGCTGAGCAAGGAACTCCAGATCCAAGAGCCTAGGAGACTAATCTCGTGTTGAGGAAAAGTGGGTAGCTCTTGTGGAGTCTGTGGTTGGAGAGAAGAATAGCTAGATCTCAGGCACCACTGCCTTAAATCAGTCCTTTGTATCAGACCACCCAGTAATGATCTTGGACTTCTTGCTGCAAGAGCTAACAGCTAAAAGTAGTCAGCTAACCACATACCTCACAGCTGCTCAGTGAATCCTTCATTGCAAAGGGACCTGAGACTTAATCAACAAAGTATTTTTGTTGCCATTGATTATCAACAGTATTTTTACTAATCAACATTTTGTTGATTAATTAGTTTAAAGTGGAAGATTTGCTTCTCTTGTGTTTATGGGAATTATGAAGAAACTTATTTTTCTGAAAATATACTCACTTTTAAAATTCTCATATTTTATTCCCAGGGAAATTTTTCATGAAGTTCACAGTTTCACAACTTTAAATTAGGTAGATGGTAATATATTATTTACAGTTATTTGCAGACTAGCACATGCTAAATATTATATGCCATCAGAAGAAAATCCATAAAAGCCTTCTCTATCAATAACTGGGGAAATTAATTTTAGTGACCCAGAATTTTGTATTGTCTAACAAACAAAATGAAAGCACTTTCAAGGGAAGGTAAGATGAATTGATGATGTCATTTACTATGTTTGGTGCTAATAATATGCTAAAGAAATAGAGTCTAAAGGCTCAAGTGGGGAGAAAAAGGAATTAAAGTAATCCAATGAAACCGGGGGAAAAACAAAGAGCTCAAGAAATTTTCTATGGAATAATATTTTGTTTAGATATTATGGCTTATCCCCTTTCCCCCAAAGAATGCATAACTCGACCAGTAAAGGAAAACTTTTCCTGTGAGATAAGTAGTAGTTTATATTAGTCTTAGAGTATGAGATATTGTGTAAAATGGAGAGATGAGATGAAAAGAGGGCAGTAAAATCCCAAGATGTTCATGTATAAAGCAAGGAGACATAAAGCAATGAATGTCAAATCTGTAGGAGTGAACAGAGATTAAAAGGAGGGTGGAAATCAAAAATTATGAAGCTTTTGAAATAAGTAAGTAAAAGATAATGAAGGGAACAATATGCCATGCCAAAGAGTTTTGGCTTTTTTTTTTCCCCCTTCCATAAAAAAGATGATACTCTGTTAAAATAGGAAGAGAAAGAATCCATTCCCAATTAGAAAAATCTCACTGATAAATAGGAAAAGTGATAGATGTAAGAAAAAAAAAACATTTTAGGGACTATTGTAGAAATTCAAGTAAGGAGCAATGAGTTCCTAGAGTAAAACAATGTGAACTAGAGAGGACCAAGTCCAAGAAATAGGAGGGAAGTAGAGGTTAATGAATTAGGTATCAGATTTGGTTCATAGTGAGTAGGAGCTAAGAGTACTGGCTGACTTCCTAGTTGTTATTTTAAGGAATAGGAACATAAAATAATCAGAAGTGAAGTTTCAGGGTGGGACAAGAGCAGAGCTGCATGTTGAGTTGTCATGTGTGTGGGACAGTGTTGAGTTGTCATGTGTGTGGGACAGTGCTATTTACGTCTTCAGGAAATAGAAACATTAATGAGCTGCAACTTAGAGTCAGGGGACTCTGAACTGAGGATAGTAGTTAGCAGCACAGAATGGGAAGGGTCATGGGTATGGATCCATTGTGTACATAGAGGCCATCACTGTGGGTAGCCTGCACAGTGAGAAGATTAAATGCCCAAAGACTTCCAGTGAGAGGGTCACATATCATGGGTGATGAGACTGCTTAGTGGCCACAGGTTTGAGAATTAATATTTAATTAAAACAGAGGAACAAATTATAAGGTGTCTCTTTGAGAGTATGATTATTTTTATTTCACTGAATATAAATGCACAAAAATAAGAGGAAAGAATCAAGAATTACTCACTTCAGTCTGAAGCAACATAATGGACTAATGAGATAGATAGATGGATGGATGATTCTTATATAAAATCATGTATAACATAATAACATTGGATACATTAGCTTGTTTTTTTTGTTAGAATATAATATTTAAAATATCATGCTATAGAGGAAATTTGAGTTTCATTATTCAGATGTAATTATCTCTCACTGTGTGAAGTTGACTTTCTTTATTAAGAGCAAAGTGAAAAGGCTAAGCTTATTATACTGTTTCTTTGATGTTTTTATAGGATATAATGAAAGATGAATGCTCTATGCTCAAGTTACAGCTGAAAGAGAGGGATGAACTTATTTCCCAACTTCAGGAAGAGCTGGTAAGTGACAACAATATTTAGCCAACAGAGTGTACGTTTGTTGTAGACCCTTATCTATTAAATACTATTACTTATTTATAAATACTGTTAATGATTTAATCTGCTTATCAAATTTATAATTTTATAGTAATAAAAACTATAGGTCTTTGACAAGATGGAAATAGAAATATGTGTGAAAATTTATGTAATTGTAGAAATAGATCTTGAAAGCAGGGTTAATCATTTCAGTTTATCTATCAAAAATTTGAAGGCAAAGGCTATATTGTGTTTTGTGAAGTGCATGATATAACTTCTATGAAGCAAAATAAACAATACTGAAAACAAGATGTATTTTACTTTTTATTTTTCATAAAGTTTGAAGTGTAGCTTTTTTTCATATATAATTCACAAATAATGTAAAATACAAAATACATATAGTTCAAATTTTAGTTATTTTATATGGCATTATTAAAGAATGTCAGGAAGGAATCATACCTTCACAACATGAAATATACTTGGTAGATAACAGGAAAAGCTGTGGCCATTAATTTTCTAAGTATGCATTTTCAAATTATGGATGTGTGTGAACAGTAGTTTAAAATAAAATGTGAGCACTCTGCATATACATAAAACTCATAGTACTATAAAACAAGAATTAAGAAGTGAGAAATATTTTTTTCAAACTCATCAAGACCTCTCTAATGTGAGTAAACTAAATACTGTAAAACAAACTGATCCATTATCCAGATCAAAAACCAAATTGTAGCCAAAAATATTCTTTATGATTGTTTTATATTTGGCTACATTGACAATGCCATATTATGTAACTGTTAAATAAAATTAAATGATGAAGCAGACTTTCTAGAACAAGGCTTCTGAAAACTCCTAACTTTAATGACATATGAGACCAATTTAGAGCATTTCTTATTACTGGCTCTTGATGACAGTGTTTTTTAACCAAAATTTGATCTTTATTTAGACTGTGCTCTGTGATTGGATTTATGGTGTTTATTGGTTATCCTGAACATATAATTGTGACTTTTAGAAGACCTATAAACCATTACTGAAAACAGGAATAGTATCATAGACAAAAGGAATACATCTTACATTACTGAAAATAACCTTTTACAAATATATATGTAAGGTTTATGATACAAAGTTTATATATTACACATTGAAATCATTTTATATTGATACAGCCCTCTAGGAATATATTATAAAATCAAGCTTTATTTATGTAGCATACAAAAATATCTTTGAATTTAATGAATATCAAATATAGATGTTTTTGAAGATTGGAATTGTCAGTTTTAACATAGAAGAGTATTTATTCATTCACTTTGCCAGAGAGTGCTTATTTTGTATAATTAACTCAGAAAGAAGTATTCATTTTTCCTCTCAACATTAGTTGTGATCAGATTTAAAATATATGGTATATAAGAAATCAGATCTTCATTTGTTGAATGAAATGAAAAAGATAATGATTACTTCCAGAGCCAACACTACATAGCTATAATTAAAGTAATTCAATACCCCTCCCTCCAAAAAAGTCTTATATTGGCTAAAATACTAATATGAGGCATAAGTGTAAAATTTTTATCTTCTTTTTCCTTTTCTTTAAACTTGAATTTCCCAAATTGGCTCCTTACTCTATAAAATTTCCCAGGTAGTAACCAAGATATCATTTTAATTTTTGTACCATGTTATTTGCATAATCCTTTTGACTGTTTAATAAAGGAAAAATATTAACTTTTGAAAATATAGTTTGTTTTGTTAAATGAGAATTATTACTAAGTAGGAAAGTGTGTAAGTGATATTTACAAATTTAAGAGAAGAAACCTTAAAAAGCAAAAGGCTCAATAAAACTAGCTTTGGAGCATTCATGATGGGGGGGCAATCACATATAGTCCACCAGGATCCAAATAACTTCCAATCTTTGTAATAAATAACTTCTGACATTTTGTTAAGGAGGAAATTACACTTTGTATTGAAAATTCTAAACAATGTTAGGAGCCAGTTTAGCTGTTACTTATATTGCAGATTCACAATCTATAATAATTTAGAACTGGTTTCATTTCCTATTATTTGTCATGGGTTTCTTCTTTGATGACCCCTGCTATTATCATAAGCAATTTTATTTATTCATACATGGTAACACAAATTTAGATTTAATTAAGCCAAGAAATATTTGCATCAGGTCATTAAGAAATGTTTTTAAAGTAATTATGGCTGCTTATTTAGCCTTACTTTTAACAGTTTCAAAGGTTGGCAAAAGTTAATCAGCGTTTGGGGCAAAAGAGATCATTTTATATGCTTTTTTTTCAGTGATATATTTTTAGGACAGTGTTTCCCCAGCAACAACAGTATTGACACTTTGTTGTAAGTGACTGTGCTGGGCATGGTAGGATGTTTAACAGACTCTCCAACACTCTGCACTAGATGCCAATATGCACCCTGCAGACATTGACAAATATCCTCTGGGGCCAAAATTACCCCCAGTTGAGAAACATCACTTTAGCTAGCAGTGCCAGGTTAAGTTATAGTCCCTAAAAGAAATTGTGTTATAGGATAAAAATTTACCTATACCCAGAGAAAAACAAGTCCTAGGGATGAGCCTTTCCTTGGGTTCTACTTTTTTTTTTTTTAAATATGACAGCAGAATGCATTACAATTCTTATTACACATAGAGCACAATTTTTCTATCTCTGGTTGTATATGAAGTATATTTACACCAGTTCATGTCTTCATACCTGTACTTTGGATAATAATGATACCACATTCCACGATCATTTATAACCTTATGCCCCCTTCCTTTCCCTCCAACCCTCTGCCCTATATCGAGTTTGTCTGTCTATTCCTCCCATGTTCCCTCTCCCTATCCTACTATGAATCAGCCTCCTTTTATCAAAGAAAACACTCAGCATTTGGTCTTTTGAGATTGGCTAACTTCACATAGCATTTTCTTCTCTAACTCCATCCATTTACCTGAAAATGCCATGATTTTATTCTCTTTTATTGCTGAGTAATATTCCATTGTATATATATGCCACATTTTTTAAAATTCATTCATCTATTGAAGGGCATTTAAGTTGGTTCCACAATTTAGCCATTGTGAATTGTGCTACTGTAAACATTGATGTGGCTGTGCCCTGTAGTATCCTGTTTTTAAGTCCTTTGAGTATAGATGAAAGATAGGGATGGCTGAGTCAAATGGTGGTTCCATTCTTAATTTTCCAAGAAGTCTCCATACTGCTTTCTATATTGGCTGCACCAATTTGCAGTCGCACCAGCAGTATGTGAGTGAGTGTACCTTTTCCCCCACATCCTCACCAACATCGTTATTGTATGTACATTATTGATGTTTGTATGTATAAGAGCTACTGTTCTGACTAGAATGAGATGAAATCTTAAGAGTGGTTTTGATTTGCATTTCTCTAATTGCTAGTGATGATGAACATTTTTTCATATATTTGTTGATTGATTGTATATCTTGTATATCATTTCCTGAGAAGTGTCTGTTCAGGTCCTTGATCCATTTATTGATTGTTTTTTTTTTTTTTGGTGCTTTGCTTTTTGAGTTCTTTATACACCATAGAGATTATTGCTCTATATGGTGTGTAAGGGGGTAAAGATTTGCTCCCAAGACACAGGCTCTCTATTCACCTCACAGATTATTTTTTTTTTGCTGAGAAGAAACCTTTTAGTTTGAGTCCATCCCATTTATTGATTCTTGATTTTAATTCTTGCACCAGAGGAGTCTTATTAAGGAAGTTGGGGCATAATCCCACATGATGGAGATTAAAGCCTACTTTTTCTTCTATTAGATGCAGGGTCTTTGGTTGTATTCCTAAGTCCTTGATCCATTTTAAGTTGAGTTTTGTGCATGGTGAGAGATAGAGGTTTAATTTCATTTTGTTGCATATGGATTTCCAGTTTTCCCAGCACCATTGTTGAAGAGGCTGTCTTTTCTCCAATGTATATTTTTGGCACCTTTGTCTAATATAATATAATATAATTTTAATTTTGTGGATTAGTCTCTGTGTCCTCTATTCTGCACCACTGGTCTACCAGTCTGATTTGGTGCCAATACCACCAATACCATGTTGTTTTTGTTACTATTGCTCTGTAGTATAGTTTAAAGTCTGGTATAGTGATGCCACCTGCTTCACTCCTCCTGTTAAGGATTGCTTTAGCTATTCTGGGTCTCTTATTTTTCCAGATGAATTTACAATTGCCTTTTCTATTTCTATGAGGAATGTCATTGGAATTTTGATCAGAATTGCATTAAATCTGTATAGTGCTTTTGTAAATATGGTCATTTTGATAATATTAATTCATATTAATATTAATAATTAATATTAAAACCTACTCCTTGGGTTGTACTTTATGTAGGTATTTGCATACTGTTTTAGTTACTTGGGATGCTATAACAAGTTATGTTAAATTGAGTAGCCTAAACAACAGAAAGTTAATTTTTCACAATTCTGAAAGTTGGAAGCCTGGGGTCTAGATGCCAGCATGACTATATTCAGGTGAGGACTCTCCTGGCTGACAGAAAGCCATCTTCTCACTGTGTGCTCACATGGCTTTTCTTTAGTACATGCACATAGAGAAAGAGAATGTGACAGCAAGCCTTCTGTGTCTCTTTATATAATCCCATCATGAGGGTCCCATACCTACAGACCTTACCTACTCCCAAACATCTTCCAAAAGCGCCTTTTCCAAATATCATCACATTGTGTGTTAGGACTTCAATATATGAATGGAGGAAGGCACCATGCAATCAATAGCATGCATTATTTATGTTCATTCATGCTTGTTTAATGTTAACAAGTAGAGTTGTGGCTAGAGAGTGCTATTGTATTTCTTTTTCGAGCACTAAATACACATTTCAAAAATTATTATTCTTTTTCTGCTCTATGATTTCAGAATTATTACTTTAGCTCAACACTTCTTGTTTGCTAGGTTGGTAGATTTCACAAAGCACAAATATACTATTAAAGTCAAAATAATAATTTGAT